TCTCTCTCTCTCTCTCTCTCTCTCTCTCTCTCTCTCTCTCTCTCTCTCTCTCTCTCTCGCCCATTCTCTCTCTCTCCTACCCTCCTCTCCTCGGTTTCTCTCGTACTCTCCACTGCGGCCATTACGCCGGTCGGCGAACTAACTTAAACTCGGCCGCGCCCCGTGCATTTTAATGCAGCCGCGATTTATCAGGGCCGCGGGATTTCCGATGTGCTGCTATCGTCGCCGCGGGAATTGCCCTTCCCTCGTGTAATATCGAAAGTAAAAGTGACCGGAAAATTACCCACGTGGCGGATATAATCGGTACTACGATTCAAGGACGATTAAATGGCAGTATTTTGGCAGCGTGCGGACCAGAGGAATTCGGCTCACTGTACCGCGGTGGAAGAGTGCGGGGGGAGATGTAACCTTTCTCTTGAGGATTCAAATCCTGACGTCGGCAAAACGAATCGTGTCTCTGTTCTCGGTTCCTCCTCATGGGATGCATTGTCTCGCGATTGACAGACGCATTCTACGAGGAACAAAATCGAAATTTGGAAAATTGTAAAAATAATTATTGTTGATGAATTTAATTTATTAGTGATAAATTTAATAAATAATAAATAATTATTATTTGTTAATTATTAATAATCTATTAATTATTTACTGTTCGGGAGAGAGAGAGAGAGAGAGAGAGAGAGAGAAACGGACGCTTTGGTAACGAAAGCATCGATAACAAAGAAGACTTTAGCTTCTAGATTATTGCGTTTTAGATCAATCTTTAAGTATAAACGCGAATTTGCTGTTAAATTCATAATGTCAAATTATACCAATTTGAGTTATTTTTAATAATTTTTGTAAGGCGCTATTGTTCCTATTTAATATTTCATTAATCAAAACAATGAGGTTAAACAATTTATCTCAAGAAAATTAAATTTGACCCAAATTTAGTTTATTATTTACTAACTGCACACATATAGATGTTTATTGTATTATTATAATTATTATAATTTATTTATTTATTATAATTTATTATAATTAATATGTGGACGATGTTTATTTTAAAACTAACCACGGGAATGAATTAATTTTGACGTACAATGAAAGTTAAAAATAACAAATTTTAACAAAAATTTTATTTAACTTAAAAAATTTGGTTATCTCATTGCTCATTTGATAACAATGGACGATATTACTGCGAGAATTCTCTGGTATCCAGTTATGACCGATGTGACCTCATGATCTGAAAGACACTCATCCATTGAAACGAGGGAAACGGACGATACCCGCGTTTTAGAAACCTGCGCGGTTCCCTAATAACAGCGTAAACCTTCTTAAGGTTAAATTCTTAACACGATCTTATCCTTAACTTACATATCGACCAGAGGAAAAAAAGAAACGACCGTCCTTACATCGCTAATCGTAATATCAGATAATGTTTTGATAGTTTCTCCATCCCCGCAATTCCTCAACCATCGAGGGATCAAATCGCACGCGGATACCCACTTACCAATCGTCTCTTTCTTCCTTTATTTTTCTCTCTTTTCAACTTTAGTAGGCAGGTACCCGGAAACTCCACGACGATCTAGAATTTCTTATAGTTAAAGATAGTCGAGGACGCGTTGACACTAGCTCAACTATACCGTCTCCGTCGTGCCTCTGTACATTGGTGTTTTTATTTAGAAAATAATTCGACCGTTTAGAATATATATATATAATTTATGTATATATATATTTTTTATATACTTTTTATTTATATATATATCTGTATATGTATATATTTATATAGCTGCGTTCTACGTTGCTTATAGTACGTCAATCTCTTCGCATATGATACATGTCTCATCTCGCGCGACACGAACTCTCAGTTGCGCGTCCGTCTGAAATAAAACGATCGAGTGATGATCGATGGATCTTAACGAGTCGCATCTGTTCTTCGAATCATCTGATCTTCGGATCCTCAGAGCCAGACGAACTCGTTAAGCTCTCGCCCTCGGATCGGCTTCAAGAATGACTCGGCGTAGACCGATGCGCTATCGAACTTCAGTTTCGATCGAGCTCGGCGGTCTTCAGCACGATCAAGTAATCGACCGCGCATATAGAATTTTTACGCGTGTATATGTATGTATTGGAACACAACAGGCTCCACATGGCCGGATGGCCCGTCATTTCTGGAAAAAGAGAGGAAAGGAGATCGTGGACCGACCCTGTTTTCCCACGGGTTATCCACGCGAGGGATTTCTGTTTGGCATCACTCATCGGCAGTGCTGATCTTGTGGTCATCAGTGATAAGACAGACGTGATAAAAATCCTGGCGAAAGTCATTCCATGTCCGTTGGGTCTTCTTTTCTTCGAGATTCTGAGACGACTCCCCACGGTGACGTAGAGAGGATATTAATCTTCGAGCAGTCGCGCGGGAAGATGGGCTTATTAAGGATCGCTTAGGATTACAGACGAGGTGTATAATTTTCGGAATGACATCTCGTTCCGGAAAAGATGCGGTACAGATATACTTTTTTACAGATATACTTAATGCAAAGCTTATCCGCATCTTTTGATTACGATGGGGAGCCTATTGGTTATTTGCTTGTTTGTTGCGTCATTACAGGCCAAAAAATTGATCTTAAAAAATTAGAAAAAAAGACTGAAAATTTCGAAAAATATTTCAGATGTGAAAATGTAATCCGCGAAGAATTGCTAATATTTAGACTTTACATTAATCAAGTTATATTACAAAAATTTCATAATCAATGTTCAATTTTTTTTCCTAATAACGATACGTCAATTAGATATATTGTATCTCCTCAGCTTCATTTTTTCTCTTCGAAAACTTAAATAAAAGTATCAACTAACAAATGTCTTTCTAGCACGATCGTTGGCTTTCGACTGATCGTGAAATTGATCTATGATGGCCGATCCACGATGATACTAATATTTCGATCGTATACGAATAAAAGTCTTGAATAGATTGTATATCGTGGCGATATGGCGATTACACTTTAGTGCGATTTTTTTGGTCTCGCTTCTTGATATTCTTCGTCAGCATGGTCTTCTTTCCGTTTTATTATTTCATTATTTCATTTATTAGTTTTCATTCTTTTTATATTGCGCGACGAAAGGAACTTTCTTCTGATTGGTCTCCGCTGATCTCCTTCATCTTTTCAAATTGTCAATTTCTCCATACTATGTGAAACACAACGGAGGAGTCCATAATAATCATAGAATCACGTTTTTTCTGGACTACAGATCTTGTTTGCCATGTGACGCGTCCGATTTACGCTCGGTACGTGCCAATCACACCCATGTCCAGGTTGTCGCGCAACTCCATCTCCAGTTGGGTCTCCCTGTGTTTATCGGATCGGTGCGACGTTACCGGTGGCGGTGGTGGAGGTGGTGGTGGACCGCCGTCTCGCTCACGATTTCTTTCGCGAACGGACGACCTATCTTTCTCCCGCTCTCTTGTGTGATGATGATAGTGATGAGCAGCGTAGCCGTTGACCGGTAGAGTGGGATACGAGGACTGGCCGCAGTTGGGCTGATGCCTGGAGGGTAGCGGTGGCGGTGACGACTGATGACGGCCACCGGCTGGGATTCCGTTTTGAAGTCCGGACTCCAGAGTCCGTATCCGATCGTCCGGCTCTCTGGCAGAGAGTTGCGGTTGCGAATGCGGCGTACGGCGCAGGGAGTGACTGGAGTAATGGGATCTCGCGCTGTTAGATGTGACTCCGTCGATCGACGCTGCGCTTAGCGATGCTGTACCATCGTCTACGACTCCTCTGACCCCTCCTCCCGTTCCGCTACCTCCACCTCCTCCACTACCACCACCTCCTCCACCTCCTCCTCCTCCTCCTGCTCCGCGGTGACCGGACGCGTTGTTCGTGACGGGCAGCGTCCCCGGGCGGCGCATCTGGCGCGCTGTCTCACCGTCGATGTAGGTGAAGCCCTCGGCGAGGGTGGTGCTGCTATGAGGCAGGAACCAAACTCCACCGGTCCCGGGGCTCGCCGCCCGTAGTTCTAGCTACAGCTCCGTCACCGGTATTGGCTTGATACCGGCTGCTATCTGAGCATGCTGCTGCTGTTGCTGTTGTTGCTGTTGCAGTTGCTGAAGGTGATGATGATGGTGATGCGTGGGCACCGGCTGAGATGGTGGTGTTTGATGATGATGGTGATGATGATGGGCGTGTGCCGAACGGACAATGTATTCGTCATCGGAGAAGGTCTTCTGGTACTCATGCTCTTTTCGTGATATCGCACGGTTCTTCCACTTGTAATCTTTGAGCGCGTCTCGCACGCGTCTGCGATATCGGTAATATAAGAGTATTATAAGACCAAAGAAGAGGCCTAGTCCTGTGGTGCACACCGTCACCAGCAGAACCTGCTTGCGCGAATCCGAAAAGGCGCATCCTAGCTCGTCTGCGGTCATACCCTTGATGGACTTGCTCTTGGATTCGGGCGGTTCGGCGCATAGCACTGGGCTTGAGTTTCTCGGGACGAGTATCTCAGCCAGCCATAATTGACTGCAGTCACATACTAATGGATTCTCACTGAGATCCAGACGGCGCAGTTCGTTCCAGGCGACCAGCGATTCCGAGAATGTGATAAAGGCATTGTCACGTAGCATTAGATGCCTCAGATTTGGTAAGCCGGCCAAAGAACCTTCCTCCATAACAGCCAACCGTTTATTGCTGTTTAATACAAGAGTCTCTAGATTAGCGTTGTCTGAGAAGGCTCCCTTCTCCACGGTAGTAAGTAGCTTGGCGCCGGATACATCGAGCTTCTTCAACGTTGATAGACCTTGGAAGGCTCCTGATCGCAGGATCGTGAAGAAGTTCTGGCCTAAAGTAAGCTCCTCAAGGCGTGGCAACACCGCTAATTGTTTCGTCGGTACTTCGCGCAGTTTGTTAGCGCCAAGTTTCAAGGTACGGAGAGCATTCAGGCCACGAAACGCTCCATCGCTGATGTTGTCCAAACCGGCGCCCATGATGTCTAGCACAGCCAATTGCTCGAGACCTTTGAACGCATCGTCCGGCAATGAAGAAAAAGCGTTCCAACCGATATGAAGCTCGGCGAGGGCATTCAATGGTGCCAGGGCTGACGATGGAACAGTTCGCAATTGATTATCATCGAGATATAGTACCCGTAGAGTGCCTAATTTCTGAAACGCGCCTGGTTCTACTTTCGATATGCGATTCTGACCCAAATCAAGCTCCTCGAGCTTCGACAAGTAGGCGAACAGGCCGTTCTTTAGCGTCTCCAGGTAGTTATCTCGCAGATTCAACACCGTAAGGGATTTGAGACCCTGGAACGTCTTCTCGGTCAGCGCCGAGATTTTGTTATGCTTCAGATGGAGCTCCACAAGGTGTCGTTGAGCATCAAAACTGCCGTTAGGTATAGTGAACAGATGGTTGCTAGAGAGATCGACGTTCTTCAGATCACCATAGAATTGGAAGGCTGCTGCGTCCACGATCTTGATGCGATTCTCCTTTAACACTATTCGCTGGATGCTGGGATTCAACGCAATAGGTATCACATCCAAATTGGCACCCACACAGGAAACCACTAAGGTGTCATCGTCGCAGGTACAGCCGTTAGGGCAAAAAGTCCGCGCCTCGGCTGTGCCGAGAGCGAAAAGGCCAACCAAGACGAGCAGGTGGAGAACGCCAATAACGGTGAAGCTGCGTTGTGACGTCTGCAAAAAATAAACGAAGGAATTTTGATTAATTTAATTAATAAAAAAGTCTTACTTGGAGCAGCAAATAAATACTGCGATAGTTATACACTTAAACTCTTATACCATCAAGAATAATTTTCGAATAAAATTTGCGCGTTAATTCAAGACTCATTCAAGTTTCATCCACTCAAGAATCACTGTTGGAGAGTGCAGTGGACAAATTCCCCGAGTCTACGTCTAGCTAGAACGCTGTCGACAGTCGCCTCGGGGAATCGATACCGTCTGGTGCACACCGCACCCAATTTATGCCGGTTTTACGACAAGAGCGTTGAATTATTTTCCGTGGAGCTCACCGCGCCATGGCCGACGAGCAGCAAC